TTGTGCTCTTTAGCCTGACCAAATCTCTTCTGCTTGTTGCCTTTCCTTAGCAGTGGTTTCCTAGCAGCTATTTTACCATGAAGGCCTGATTCACAAAGTCTCCTCTTAACAGCTGTTCTAGAGATGTGTCTGCTGCTAGAACTCTGTATGGCATTGACCTGTTGTCTAATCTCAGCTGCTGTTAACCTGCGATTTCTGAAGCTGGTGACTCAGATGAACTTATCCTCCACAGCAGAGGTGACTCCCAACCCCATTTATAAGGCAAGAAATCCCATTTATTAAACAGAGGACACCTGTGAAGTGAAAACCATTTCAGGGGACTACCTCCTGAAGCTCATCAAGAGAATGCCAAGAGTGTGCGAAGCAGTAATGAAAGCACAAGGTGGCTACTTTGAAGAACCTAGAATATAAGACATATTTTCAGTTGTTTCACACTTTGTTTAAGTATAATTCCACGTGTGTTAATTCATATTTTTGATGCCTTCAGTGTGAATCTTCAATTTTCGTAATCATGAAAATAAAGAAAAGTCTTTGAATGAGAAGGTTTGTCCAAACTTTTGGTCTGTATTGTAAGTTTATAGGTTTGTATGTAAAACATCAGATAATCTGCAGTCCTATTATTCAACTTGTTTCATTTAACCACAGATTTGTTTAGTTTTATGGTATTACATAATACTAAAATGATAATTACCCAGGTTATTACCCCCCTCCCGATAAGCCATTGGAAAACACACTAAGCCTTAGTTCCAGTAGTTGAATAGGATCTACTGGGGTTTTTCAAATTCAGACTGATGGGGGGAAAAAAAGAGCTCATAGATGGCTAAATATGAAATTAAATAGCCATCCCACCTTCTCAACCAACAGACTGGTCGTCCGGTGGCCAACTTCAAGCAGCACTGCGGCCCCATCACATCAGTGGAGTGGAGCCCCCTGGACTCCAGCGTGTTCGCTGCCTCGGGGGCGGATGACGTCGTCAGCCAGTGGGACCTCTCTGTGGAGTCCTGCGACGTGGGAGCCAGGGTGGAGGGGGTGAAGGACCTTCCCCCACAGCTGCTGTTCCTGCACCAGGGTCAGTCGGAGATCAAGGAGATCCACTGGCACCCACAGATACCGGGCGTGATGATCTCCACGGCCCTGTCGGGGTTCAACGTGTTCAGGACTATATCTGTGTAGAGACTGTGTGTTTAGCCTTTAGTCATAAACATTAAATTTAACGTGCAGTGAGAGGGAAGGAGCTTGTAATAATGTACATAACCTACCTGTGTAAGTATCAACTCTTCTTTCTAACATTTATTGGCAGAGAAAGACTCAGCATATATTTTCTGTATGTTTTACAGATTTGAAAAGTATTTTATGGCATTTCCTGTTGCATGGTATTCATAAAATATACATTCTGACCCAAGTTGTTTTGTTTCCTTTGTTTTACTTCTCAATGAAAATCATTGTGGCTGACTGGCTGCTTTTTACATCAAGAGGCAGAAAGTTTTTGTGTAAATTAAGACTGGAGACCTTTTGTGAATGCAGATTTCAAGTCTTAGGTATCTGGGGAAATTCAGTACATGAATCTGCTTTGATGTAAACGGTTCCATTGTATCTGTATATCTTTCTAGAAGCTCGTGAGTTGAATAAATCTAGGTCATGATGCCACTACCACCATGTTTTACAATGGTTACAGTGTGATCAGAACTATGTGTCGTTTTAGTTTTTCTATGTTTATAACATCTTTTACATGTCTTCTGCAAACAGGACTTTCTAATACTTATCACTTTCTTTTTACTCCTAGATAAAGGTCAGGTTTGCATTTTGCACAGCTGGTTGTTCCGTTAACAGGAACCAGCAACCTTTACAATTGGAGGGAGCCATTTCTGTGTTTGCTCTCAAAGAACAACTCACCCAGGTCCCGTACCTCCGCCCACATTCATTTGAAAAATGCGTCTGATGGAGGTGGTGCCTGGCGAAAAATAAATCCCATCGCTTAGGGGAAATCAAAAGAACTTTCATGCCTCTTGATACAAAGTTGATCAAATCTCGTAAGTCCACTGGTTTTTGACCAGTTTTAAAATTTGTTTTATACAATGTTAATTCATGATCTAAATTGACTTAAATTCAAGTGATTAACAAAACAAATCTAAAATTATTGCTCTAGACTAACCAGATAAGGCAAAACGTAAGAGTTTTTATCTAATGTTGATGCACTTAATTTTCTAATCAAAATGTATTTTTAGTAACTGGTAATATAAAAAATTGGTGCAAAACTGTCAAGGTAGACCCTTTTATACAATTTAATGCATTTTATTATTTTCATTTTCTTTTATAAAGATTTCTCAGTTTTAATTGGACAAAAATATATATTAAAATGCATTAAAATTGAAGGTTACCTCACCTTTCTAGTCTAACATGACTGTGTCAAGTTATTTATTCAGGATTCTGAGACGAGCTGCAGCTGCTCAGGGTCAAAGTACTGACTGTTTCCTGGGTGATGTCGCAATAATGGAAGCTGACTCCAAATCAGATGCAGTACATGTTTAAACCTGAAGAGGGCGCTCACTGTTTTACACACAAGCAGGATTGGAAAGATTGTGCAATTTTCAAAATAATGCCCAGCACATCTGGACAAGACTACAATTACAACACACAATACATTTTATTAGCAAAAAGAAAAGATTTTGGGGTGAGTTGTCCTTTAACAACATTTGCTTAGGGCCACTAAATTGGTTTTATTGCATAGTTTGACGAATGCATTTTAATTTAGCTTGCCTCGTGTTGAAAATAACATTTTATGTTAGTTTTTAAAATTTGAGAGACAATTAAAAACCATCAACATGAGCAAAACAAAGAGTACATACTTTATTTGTGAAAAAAAATGGAAAAATGTTTGTTTTGCTAATTAATGAAAGTAAGCGAAAAATAAATTATTGCACTACTAATGTGATTCTGTTGTTAAAATCTTCACCCTATTTCTCCATGGGTTGCAGATTAACCAATCACCTAACCTGAGCGGTGGATCTCTGTAGCTCCTCCACAGTTACCAAACCTCTCTAATTACAGCTCTCCTTTCCACCTACCCTCTACTTTGTGTTCTTTTAAACACTACACATAATCTCAATAGAACACCCTGAGGTTTGTGGTTGCAATGTGACAAAAAAGAAAATGGTATGGATCTGGATTAAAAAAACAAAAACGAGACAACGTGAAATGATTGTGCAGTGTATTGGGATTTGTGGAAATTACTAACTGATCTGGGTAATCAGGGACTGGAATAAAGGAATATAACATTTTAATTAGAGGTAATATTTCACAAGCCCTGGGTGTAACGTTCTTGTGGCACCTCTGCAGGAAACTTGGTATGTAACCGGCCCAGTCTAAGCGCCTAATTAAAATAGTAGACGGCTAATGAAATGCAGAGTGGCTTGAGCCACATCCCAGATCCTCATATTACCCAAGCCTTGCAACAGAAAGGCAGTCAAAGCTGGTGCCAATAATAACTTTGTTTTTTGTTTTTTACTGTAATGTTTATTAAACCACAGGGTAACATTCGAGGTTTTAACCAGCATTTTCAGCAGAAGGGTAAAATGGTATCTCCCTTTTACAGCATTTTGCAACAATTATCAAAGCAAAGAACATTACACAAGCAAAAAGTACAAAAATACACTTTGATTTATGAGAGACATTTAAAATCCCATGATTGTTTTTTTCTAGGAAAAAAATAAAAACAATCCGTTCAGCCTGAAGGACAGATTTGGGAAGTTTAAAAATAAAACCACCTCAGATGTGGTTTTGGTCAGAACCAGTGAGCCTCACATTGCCAGATATGGAATGTGACAAATTCACAGTAACTCATTATCAACACCGCCTCTGTGGGCTAAAAGGCTAAAGGCAAGGAGGCTGATCTAAACCAGCGATGCAAAACAAATAAGACATTGATATAGCTCAGTACTGAATACAATAAGGCAAAGGATACAAGTCCCTTTAAGGCACATATAGGTAAAAGATCGATAGATCGAATATAAAAGAGTAGATTTAGTGATTAAAACCTGATCCGTTTATCCTGAATCAGACTTTCCATAGAGCTGGAGTCTGACAGCAAAGTTTCCATCTGAAAGAAGTGGTTCAAAGTGCTACAAACCTTTCACTGTTTGAGTGAGCAGATGATACAAAGTCATGTTACCCTTGTTGACAAAATAAATCAAAATTTCCAGTTGAATGTTTACTGTACACCTTACGTTGATTTATTTTAGCTTTACATTCAGATTGATTCTGTTTAGGCCTCCCATTGAGTTGTAAAGTGGTGAATTGAGGAAAATGTGAATACAGTTGAAACCGGATTCATTCACTGTATAAAAAGATGGGATCTTTTTTTTGTTTTGTTTACTTACTGCCTGACATTAAATCAGACCAAACTTTTTTTTATTAACTTTGGAAAACAAAAGTTATTTCTGTTCCCTTTATACAAGACTTTTTTTCTACTTCATTTCTTAAACGTTTGGTGGATTTGCAGTTTGGGCTGTATAACTAGGGTCAGCTGTTTTAGGTATCACTAGAAGACATTTTCTTTGGATTTTCTGCCAGAGAAAACTGGCCTGAGTCTGGGTTGGAGGCTGTTTTGCTCACGCACCTTTTCAGCACTACCCATAAATATTCTCTGGGACTCAGATCAGGGCTTTGTGATTCCCACTCCTTTACTTTTTTGTCTTTAACCCCAATTTTTTTAGGTATATGATGGTTGTTTGGGCAATTGTTCACCTGGAAGTCAAGCTTTAACCTTCTGGCTTAAGATGATGTACTTTTCTCCATCTATTTTTAAAAAAAGCACCAGTTCCTCCTCCAGCAAACCCCTCTAACAACATGTTACTACCACCTTCGTACTTCAAGCTTGCCCCTTCTTTCATCAAATGTGATAATGTTCGTTAAGGCTTAACACTTCACTTTTAGTCTCACCAGACCATCAGACATTCATAAAAAAAAAAAAACAAGGTCTCTGTCCCTGAGAGCTTTTCTACAAACTACAGTCTAGGTGAGTGTAATGCTCTAAGGTAATGGGTCCTTCCTCACTGATTGGTTTTTCAACCTTCCTATAAAAAAAAAAAAAAAAAGAAAACACTGTTTTCCTTGTAATAACACTTTTTAACCATCTTCAGCCATAATCTTTAGATGGTCTTTTAACATCATCAGCTATTGCTATCAAAACAGGAAAAAGTTTAGTTTGATTCAATTTCAGACAGTGAGGAACAAAAAGGTTATGTGTGGTTTAATATTGTTTATGTAAACATCTGGTTTCAACTGTATATTCATATCGTTCGCATGAAAAGTGGATACCTGTCCCCTATAGACCAATTTCATCATCGGACTCGTCTTCAAACGAGTAGCCCCGTCCTTCCTCATCCTCCTCCTCTGAATCAGTCTCTGAGTGGCCGCTCTCTGACCTCCTCCGGTCCAGTTCGGTTACTCCGTCGGATTCTGAGCTGTGTGAGGAGGCAGGACTGGGTGGCAAATCTGCTTTGTGGTTAACCAGCTGCGGTTCTCCTGCCGGACTCTTCCTCCTGTCGCTGTCGCCCCGCACTGGACTGTGGGACCCAAGCTGGTTATCCTCATCATAGTGAAAGTCAAAGGTTTGACCCTCCTCCTCTTCAGATGGCTGGCGAATGATCTCCTCCCGCTTGTCGCTAAACCTCACCTTTGGTCTTAACCCCCTGGACTTCAATCCGTTCTCGTCTGGTATCCTGCTGTCTTCCTCCAAACCATTCCCATTCACTGACTCCTCAACATTGCCCCTGACTGGCTTTGTATCCACCACTGATGTGTTGCACTTTGGGCTCAGCATGTCCTCCCCATTGGAGCCAAGCGACAAACTGTCCATCACTCCTAAAACGTCCCCGAGAATAGACGGACCCAGATCAAAATCCAGATCCAGATCCAGATCCATGGTCAAGGAAGACAGAGACTCTGAGCGCTGAAGCTTCGTACTCTCAGGAACATCCTTCTGCAGGTTGCTGTGGTTTACTGCCACTTCTGGGTCGGCGGCTGGCAAGATCCCAGAACCCCCCAGCTCTGAAGTGGTCGGACTGGGACCTAATGTGGAGAGGAAGGAGGTGTCTCCAAAGGCGTCGCCTCCCCTGCCGATGTGCATGGTGTGGCGAAAGTCCCCCAGGGGGGCAGAGATCATGGTGGGGTCCAGGCGAGGGGCCCGGGACGATTTGTGGAGTGGCATGGCTAGTAAGTCTAAAACTGGGTGGAAAAGGAAAAAAGGGGATAAGAAGACAGATTTAAATGAGACATAACACACAGAAAGTTCCTGATAAGCCGGGGTGAGTTGTGTAAGGCAGTATGGGAAAGCAATGAGACTTTTGGCACTGGTCCGGCTGTGAAGGCCATGCTGAGACTTGCACTTGAAGCAGTGTGCAGAGTTAGCACATACTTTTCTCTGCCCTCAGGGCTGCTTGAAGACAAAAACAAGACTCTAAACCTCTCTACAGAATCACCCCAGCATATAAAACCCTCCCAGCCTTAGAAAAACCTCTAAAATAACCCAACTGTTTATAATATAGTTGTTAACTATTAACCAAGGCTTTCTTATGATAAATTATCTAAAAAATAATGTATTTATATTAGGGTCCAAAGTATGAAGGCGACAGAGTGAGTAAATATAGCAGGAGAGAGAGTGGGCTTCAGGGCCCAGCCCTCAAATGCTTTCTAAGTTTTTGACAATTAAAAACATCTTTGAATTGCGTTAACTAAACCAAAACTACACGGAAAAGCTTTTAAAAGTAATGAGAAGCGTGTGGGTTATTAATCAGTGAAATATAAAGAGTATTAAAATAATAAACTTACTTTAAATCGGTTGTTTCTGTATTTTTTCTCGGGCTCCCGCTTTAGTATCCACCTTTTTCATTTGCCTTTTCGCTTTCCTTTTCTCTACCCAACCTTTCCCTCGCTCTTTTCTGACCGTCCTTTGCCTGTGTGAGTTTTCTTTTTCTTTTTTTCCTCCTTCTTTCCAAAGGGATGGGCATGGACTCAGGAAGTGACGCCAAAGGTTTTTTTTTTTTTTCTTAGTGAGAGTTCCAGCTGGGCTGTTTGGCTCTGTGCGCCATGAGGCGCGTTTAATCTTCCATTGGTTCTCATTTAAAATGCTAAATTAGAACACAGTGTCGCATCAATATTCATCAATACGTTTGCATTATTTTTATTTTCGGAAAACATCAACTAACGATTTCATAAAGGAATAACAAAACTGACTTGAATAATGGTTACTGCCAACTTTCTACAATCTACGGAAGACGATTAGGGCCACTGAAGAAATAAAAAAAAAAATTAACTGATTTTTACATATTATTTCAGTTTAATATGGGGAATTCCGACTTTTTTCTCAGAATTCTTTTTCTGAGACTTTTTTCCCCCTCAAAATTCTGATTTTAATCTCAGAATTCTGACTTTAATCTCAGAATTTTCACTGTTTTTCTCATAATTCTTTTTTCTCAAAATTCTGACTTTATTCTGACTATTTATTGATAAATAGTTTCCATGTAGGTATAGTGAGTAGTTCAGTTTACAATGGAATTTGTTGATTAAAAACTGCTACATATATATTTATTTATATTTCCATGACAGTCTTTAGAATATCATTTTGATTTAAACAGGCAAACATTTTATTGTCATTATAGAGATGACTTCCTGGGTGCCCTTCCATTTGATGAAAAGTATCCTAGAAATAAATGCATATTTGAAAAATAAATTAAGTTCTAAAATCCCTGAGTTGTGTCTTTCATTTGTCAGCGAAACCACATGTTCAATTTGTCTATTTACATATAAATATTGTTATTGCCTGAACAAGAAAATGTTAATTGAGGTACATCAATTAACATTTTGCCACTGTTTTAGCAACATTTAACCCATTGTTTTGTTTTTCATTGCAAAAAGGTTAATGCATTAACCCCTCCCCTCCAGATTCTATGTGATAGAGCATTGCAAACATACAGCAAAACCATCAGTAGGAAGAAAGAAAACACTCTAGCTAGAGGTTCTGAGAAAACCCATGTGGTTTCTAAGCAACAGGCTGCCAGAAGAACAATAATTATCGAAGCAGAGTTGGGGATTTGGGTTACTCTGGAGGAGCTGCAGGGAACCACGGTTCAGGTGGGAGAATCTGTTGACAGGAAAAACTTTAAATAGGCGTCTCCCAAATCTGCAAAAGCCATTTCCTTATGAAACATTGTGGCTGCATCATGCTAAGGGATGGTTTTCTTCAGCAGGGACACAAACCCTGGAACTGTTGGGAAGACGGTTGGAAATAAGTGGCTGACTATTCTACAACAAAACCTGTTGGAGACTGCAAAACACTTTAGATTAAGGTGAAGCTTCAATTTCCAGCAGGGCGACAAGTCCTAAACATGCAGCCATAGCTATGATGGAGCCATCAGGTGATAGCTTAATTATATGCTAGAAAGGCCCAGTCAAAGTCCAGAGCTCAAACTAATTTAGCCTTACGCAACTCCGAAAAAGTATGCTGACAAACAAGCTTCATTCAGTCTGACAGAGCTTTTGTCAAAGGTATTCTATACATCAACCATGTACTTTGCAAATTCTATAAATGTAGCTTGCATACTGCATAACACCACATATTATTTGTTAACATGTGACATGGAAAATAACTAAAGTTACATTGAATCAATTTTTGGTCTTTCTATTATTAATCATTTATTTAAAATGTTTATGCAGTAAATTGTAAAAAAAAACAAAAAAACAAAAAACAAAACAATATTACATAAAAACACAGTGATATTCTACAATATGGTTTATGATAAACTATTTTGAGCATACTATACGACTGGTGTTTGTTATTATTGCCCTTTTTATGTGAATCTGGATGCCTCACTTTTTAATGTACAAATTTTATTTAAATAAACCTTATCATGCACACTTTTTCATCCCTTAAGAGAGCATCAGTACCTCTATATTGCTTCGATCAACCAAATGAACCTGAGATATATGCGACTATGCATTATTTCACTTAAAGTTTTCCACACATCATTACAGCCTTGAAATATTTTAGAAGAAATGAACACAGTGTGCTGTACCCATGTGTCAGAAACAGACACGCAGACTATGTTTATGCATCACAGGCACCACAAACTCATCCAATCACGTTATGAAATATTACTAAGGGCTGGAGCTAAAAAAGACTGTAATTATGTCGACATTTATGGAACGCAGTGGATGAAGTCGAGCCTTTTACACACCCATCATATTTTTAAAGGGTGGCTACATATTTACACCAGCATATAACCAGTCCCTTTACCAAAGAGGTTCCCCAGAATTCCTAAAAGTACTGCAAAGAACACAGGAAAGATAGCAAACATTCAATTATTTAATAGTTTTTTATTTGTTTGCCATCCTCAACTTTTGTAGCTTCCTTCAATTGGTTAAAAGAAGTCTCAGGTATTCAGACAATGGTGCTGGGTGTTGAGTCACTGTTTGCTGGATCCTGTAACAAATGTTTAGCATTTTTGTGTGATGAGGTAACCGACAAGACAATACAGACCAGTCATCAGTTTCCTGGCCGCATATTGTTAGCCACTATGTGAAACAAGCAGAGGATTACACGAAAGCTGCTCTCCTTACGTCAGGTAGACTATAGCCAAGACAGAGGATATCTATAATAGTAATTACACATACATAAAAAAAAAAAAAAAAAAAACCAGGAGAACAAATGCAGGGCAAACTAGTCTAAAGGTAAGATTGTTTTTATGTTGTTGCTTTGCAGCAAATCTCACAAGAGTGAATGCTACAACATTTGGCATTAACAGTTATAAATGACTTGAAGCTTTTGAGGGGATTAGTGTGGGAGAGACTCTGGCAGGAAATGACTCCCCTCCCTGTGACATACACACATAAACACACATCCTGCAGCTGCACAGGCTCCACAGGAAGGCCAAGAGGGGGAAGAATCTACAAAAAAAGATCTACAGAGCTTTAAAAACCTGAGTCATCCCATATCTTCTTAATATTTACCGAGACATAAACTTTCTAGCCCTTTTTTTTTATAACTTGTGCTGATTGGGACTTCTGAAGGTTTTCTATAGTCATTAGCTACATTAGGTTTGTTTTTTCAGTCCCTTTTAGCTGCACTACAGCATTTTCAGTCTTTTTTTATACATATTTATTTGCAAAGTTTTAGTCATATTAATTTATTTCCATGTGTTATCTCTGCTTACATCCTTTAGAGCTAGGATAAAAACTAGGTTCCTGTGAGGCCCTAGAATTGACATTAGGGATACTATCTTCGATAGTCTACTATATGGTACATGTGCTGTTCCTACAGCTGGTCTTTTTGTGATTTTTATTTTTTATTTTTTTTTTGTCCTTTCCTCATGATTCCTAGAGCTCCTATAACTGATGGAATTGTTTTGGTCCTCAGGTTGCGTATCCCAGTAGCTTCAGTTTCTATACTTGGAGAGCTTCCATGATATTTTCACAGAGGTATTTCTCTCTGGTGGTATTTTCATGTCACTGAGAATACAAATTTTATTATGGCATTTATATTTATAAATTTATAGATTATAATTTATGCTTATTTTATTCTGACATTTGAACACTTCTTACTAACTGAGCTCTGTTTAGCTTGTGGGTGCTAAAAACATTATTATTAGGCTAGTTTTTATTAAAACTAATAAAAAAATAATTTAAAGTTTTGAAATTATTTCAAAATGTTGAAGAACATCATTATTAATCAAGAAATGTTTTATTACATCCAAATGGACAGTTAAAAGGCAGTCAAAAATATAAAGGGAGAGTCTTTTAAAATAAATCAACTTTATTTTATCATTAATGAGAATTCAGTCTTTACAGATTTTGTGGTAAAAGGTTGTAGTAACTGTGGAATAAGAAGACTCTTGTAATTTACCACAAAGGTTTATTAACAGTTAAAGGACAAGTTAGGAGAGCAGTTTTATTTTTCTTCTTCCCATAAACAGAAGGTTTAAACAACACAAGTCAAAGAAAAGGGCTTTGCAGAAGCAAGCCACAAATTCACCAACCTACATATGTGTACGTTTCAGTTCAGGAAGATTAAATGTTGTAAATCATATTGCAGGGATTTCTTCCATGATTTGTTGGCTGAATGCTACAGCGGATCTGGAGAAGCCTCTGACGAAGAAACTTTGTTCAACAGTCTGAAATATCCTAATGGATCATGTTGCTTTCAGAGAATCTAGATAGAAAAGGAAAAAACTGACGCTTAATGTTCGATTGCCTGCTCGGTTGAGTAACTGCTTTATAGAGTGGCTGGAAATTTGCAAACTAATAAAAAATAAAACATGCATATTTATAAAGGTGTGTCTTAATGAAGAAGTGTCTAAACCGTATTTTGTTATATTTTTTTGTCCTGGTTATACAGGTGCACAAAAAAGGTACAAGAAATCATACAGAACTAAAAACAAGCAAGTTCAAATAAATTCTGATAGAAAACTGACTTTAAATTAGCTTATTTTGCACCTTAAAATTTAACAATCTCTATATATAAAATATATTTAAAAAGTCCACATAAATATCTCATATTAAAGTAAACAACTGTTTTGAGACTTCTAAGTGATTCTTGATCCAAATTAGGATAAAATCCTCCTTTATGCTCATTTCTGCACCCTTTTGTTTTCTTTGAAGAATCTGTGTTAAAGCTATTAACATCTTTCTTTTTGATGAGTGACAGCAACTCATTTGAAGTGATACTGTTTAATGCAACTCTGCACATTACCATACCCATGTTTGGGCATTTTAAATGAAGATTGCTGTTTGGAATTGATAATTTCTTGTCAATAGGGCAACAAATTTCTCCCACCAAACAAGTTTTGAACCACCAATTTATCCAACACAGTGGTACCATAGGTTGAGTGTTAATACTCAATCCATTATTTGCCATTTAATTAGGCCATTTACTTTTTTAAACACTTAAACTCAGCATATACATATCAAGACTGACATAATAGATAACAAAAAAAGGAATATATAACCTCTTGTGTATGCATTTCAGATTTTTTTGTTGATTTGTACAGTGTTTCATTTCTAAAAATGTAATATTCTATTTTCCTCTCCAGTATCGAGTAATTGCAAACAAACCTTACATTTGTTTTTCTAGACAGGGGCCAACAGACACCAGTGCCCATGTAGAACTGGTCCTTGACCCTGTTATGGCACTGTAGTAAAGACATAATCAATTTAAAATAAAGGATGTTATGCACTGTCACAGTAACTGCAAATGATAGCTACCATTTTTTTCATTTTTGCAGTTTATTTTAAGGAAGATGTTGTAAAAAGGTCACAGTTTTCAACTGTCTTATTTGAGGTTTCCAGGGCTACAAATGGCACATTTTCTCCCCTAACGTTTTAAGTGATGAACCATCACCCTGTTTTTTGTTTCATTATTTTGTTTGGTTCACCCATGGAATAAAAAAAGCACTGGTTTAACCCTTGTCTACCTTGCAAATTTGAACCTTCACTGAATCTTTACTTAAAAATGTTTTTTTTGACTGCAATAAAACAATTAAAAAAAAGTTTTGTTCGCAAATAAATTATTCAATTTTAAATGCTAAATTTAGATAATACATTTTCCTTTATACTTCAAAACTCAAATTTTAGAATGACTGGCTGAGCGATTTAGTAAATTATGCCCTACACAGATCTGTTAAGGCATCCCCACTTCACTTTATTTATTTTAATAATAGCAATATTACTAAGCAGTAAGTATCATTATGATGTACAAATAAAGTCTTAAATTGGCTGGTTAAATGGTCAAGAGGCGTGACAGAGTATAATTGCCTTACATGTCGCCGCTCCGCCTGTAAGTCTTTACGCTGAGGAAAAATAACAAGGAGCCGTCGGTCGACTTGTGCTCCTGCCTCACCTGCCATTTTGTATCTTTGTAGTTCGCTCGTTTAGACACAGCTGTGTAGCAACGACGAAGGAATAGATGTTGGTTGTCTATCTCTTTTCTTTGAATTTACCGTATTGTTTTAGAGTGTATTAACGTTTGCTCTCTTTGTTTAGGTAATTGTACTCTCAGTTAAGTGATTGTCGCCACTGTTATTGATATTACAGGTTTAATTTAGGTCGTATTTACCTTCTGCGGGATTTGAGAGAAGCTAAGGCTAACGCTGTTAGCCGAAGCTTTTCTGTTAGCCAACCTACAGCTGTCCTACTAGCGTTCTGACGCTAACGGCTAATCTGTAGTGAAATGGCGGCCAACACGGCTCAGGCAACCCCAACAACCAACTGGTAGGTCACATTCCTAAAGCAACGTTGGTAAAAGAGTTAAGGGGGAATGTTGTTTAATCAGTAAAACTGTTGTCTTGGTGTTTTTTAGTTGTCAATTACTGATAGTGAAAATAGCTTTTAAGCCACTTCGTCAAAAAATTACGCCTTCGTTACGCAGGATGGAGGCCTAAATTGATATATTTTTTATCGTTTTGAACTCTGTTATTCATCTGACAGAATAACACTAGAAGTTTCGTATGCGTGTATAATTAATTCTGCTTATAAATGTGATTATGCTGGTAAATAGGATTTCAGGTAAGGTTTATAAATAAGGATGCCGTATTAAAATGTTAACACATTTAGCTAAATCCTCCTATTTACATGCCTTAAAATCATTATTTTAAACTTGGAAGTAGGCTTGGCGCATTTAGTCTTGATATGGTCTTTTTTTTTTACACGTGTTTGGCAAATTAAGCTCCCCTTAAAACTCAAACTTGGTTGGTTTCATATTAAAGGCCTCTCCACTTGAATTTTTATTACCCTATTTACAACCCTCACTTTCAAAATGTTAATTTGTGTGACGTAAGTCTATTTTAACTATATAAACTTATAAAAAGTGTTATTTGCCAACAAAAAGTGAAAATGATTTTTTTTTTTTTTTTTTTTTACACATTTTTTTCTGAATACAGAAAAATCCCAGCTTCATCCCTCAAAAGTTGTAATGCAGCGTCCAAAACATCATTTTTGAAATACGCATTTTTTATTTTTATTTTGATAAAAGCACAAAAATACATAGTGAGCCGTTTGGGAAAAAATATTATATGTACTTTGAAATTAGTTGTGCAATCATATCTTTAAGTTTACCAGATACATATGAACAAACAAGAACATATTCAAGCAATAAAGCATTATGGAAAACCAAAATTAGAATCGTTTTTTTACTCTATTGAATTTTTATAACAGCCTGATAAACCAGACTAATTGTGGAATTTAATGTGTAATTTAGCCTGGCCCGATGAATGAGATATCGGAAGATTGTTGATGAGAACAACCCCTTGTCTTTCAAACCATGTCTGTGCCTCTTGGCCAACGCTCTGACCAATGAGCGCAACTGACTGTGACGTAGTAAGCGCGGCAAAAAGCTGGTGGGGGAGTTTAAACAAACAGCCTGGTGGTAAAACAGCGAATACGTCCTTCTTAAAAATGATTGAGTATAGAGCCTCTTCCTGCTCATGTTTTAACAAAAATCCCAAGTCTAATCCTTTCGAAACTGATTCCAAAGCTGAGTCAAACGAGAACTGTTCAATAGTAATTGCCATCTTCCCTGTTGTGCACTCTCCAGCATTGCGCAGCTTTGTCGTCACGCCCTCAAAACCCTGTCCGCTTTACATCCAGAAATTCATAAAACATCTCTGCGTTGTGATTGGCCAGCCAGTTCTAGGGCCTGGGGCATTGATCGAGGCTAGACCACTCGCAGGCAAAAATGATCTTGGCCGCTGGTGGGTGGGGCTAGGTTACTAGGCTAACTTTATAATAGATAAACACAGCCTCCCCGGCTTCAGCCACCTAATACCCCTTTCCCACTGGCCGAAAGACCTGTTTAAGGCTTTTTGTTACAGTGGGAACAGCCTACTGATGCGTGTCTACACGGGTCAAACGATTTGCAAGTGACCCGCGTTTAAATCGCTCTCATCTGCATGCTGTGGAAACACCAGAACCTGTTTGACACACTAATTTACCTGATACCATTGAGCACAAACTACAGACACCAACTCGTCACTGGTGAACTTGATTCGGAACGGTAATAGAGCGAAACGATAACGCAAACTCACTACGGCCTGGGTTTCTTATATGTTGCTACCCATTGTTTACTGATTTCTGTCGCACCATCACACTGGGTTAATGTTGATGATGTCACCAGACATGCAGCAGTGGGGGGACAGTGGACACACAGTTTGTCAGCAAGGGGTTGGAGCCAGCTTTTTTCGCCAATGGGAAGGTGGCGTAAATCCTGCAGATACATCTCTTCTTTTGGCAGCTCAATAAGTGTGTGTACAGAACTGTGTTTGTGTTATCTATGTCTATGTTTGATAGAAAGTGAAACTGCTAAATCAAACTGCAAAATCAAACTTAATTTTCTAGAGGAAAACTCTAGGACTTAATATGAGTAGTTTGTTTAATGGGTTTATCTTACGGCTGGGCGATATAGAAAAAAAGCTTATCGATTAAAAAAAAATGCATATTGATCGATATCGATAATTATTGAAAAGATTTGAAACCATATTTTATGTGCAGCTCTGCCT